GCAACACTGTGACAACGTGACTGTGGAGGAATACACACACACCTGCGGTGTGACTTCACACTGTTGGTAATTTACACCCATTTCTCTCTTGCATCATTAAATTGGATAAGCCTGGGCCTGGTCTGACTGGGACCCACAAGGCAGTGTGCTTGCATCATTCCAGGGAGGCCTGAGTGTCTCCAGGCAGGCAGATGTGCTGCTCTCACCTGCTCCGATTCACATCTCGCCACTCTCCAGGGGATCAGGGGGGAAGTGAAAAAGTGTAATTGGATGACGAAGGGGACTCATCAGTGTGGGAAGAGGAAGTGTAAAGAGATAAGATGTCTGGACGGACAAGTTGAAAGACTAAAGGCAGACAAACAGAGACAGAGAGACAGGAAGAGCGGAGGAGATCCCACCCCTCGGAGGAGTCAGAGGAGAGATCAACAGCTGGATCCAGCTGCCGAGTCTGAGCTTTGTCACAGCTGCCAGAGGCTGACTGTCCCTCCGGAGACTCTCGACTGTTTTCTCTCTCCCTCTCGCGCTATGCTTTCACTGCACTCGCATGCTTTCATAGAAACTTAGCAGTGGTGCTGAGAGGTCTGCCTTGCCAGCAGCAGACAAACTGCCTGGGCTACTAATGAATTGCCTTGTCCCTAGAGATCAGCACATGAGCCCATCTTCCTTCCTTGCCAGATGTGGCACACCGAGCACGGCTACTTCACAGTCTGTACTGACCGGTGACAACAGTACATTTTGATAAATGATAGACCCTTTACGATATCTATCAAGCAGAATATGTTCTCTGGTCCTAACGTCTGAAATGTGTGGTTTTTCAGTTTTTCTCATTTCAATTTAATGCCTGTGGGTTTGGCACTTTTAGTTTGACCTCACAGCATTGGGAGAAAATAATGACGGGTATTCAGTCCAGTAACTGTCTGACATTTCATTTACAATTACTGAAGCTATAAACAAACACCGTAATTGAACCACGGTGGTCCTTCTATTCTCTTTCACAGCTTGGTGTTCAAACATCCACAGCTTACGTGTTTCAGTATTTCCTTCCAGTTACTGTGTTCGACCATATAACATTCAAAGTTTTACCGCTCCTTTTGCCTCCTCCTGTGCTCGTGAAAACCGGAGATTTTGATGATGGACGTCTTAGCACAATTAAATGCGCTCAGCTGTCTCAAGCACAGCAACTTTGACCTGGACACCCACACTCTATCCAGATGTACATCAGTGTTTATGTTCGCTTCAGTGCCCAAGCAAGGCCCAAGAGTAAGTGTTCAAGGAAGTATTGCATTTTCAAACACATTAAGTAGCTCGCTACTCCAATTTTACCGTTCCACGGAAAGGCTGTTGTAGCGCGGAGCCTCTGTGACGCTTGGTAGGTAACAGGAGGATAAAATAAAAGGGGAGAGCAAAAGCAGATTCAGCTCTCCTAAAGCTAAACCGATCTCACAGAGAGACAGGCCAGTCTGGCATCAAGTGAACATTTCGTTCGACACAAACGATCCTCCGGAACAAGGGTATGGTGAGAATGGAGGACATAGTTTTTGAACAAAAATACCAGGCGATAACTGGCAATTTCACCATAGTTATGGTAGTTAGTCATTTGGCCATTTGGTCTCAGAAAGTTTTCACTGACGTGCTAGCAGAATCCATTACAGACAGAAAAAGGTGCAGCGACAGTAGAGCTTTCAGTCACCAAATTGTTGGATTTTACATGGAAGTTTTCAGAACTTTGGCATGAGTGGATTTCAAATTGTTTTTTTTGTGAGGTGTTCCAAAAATGGGGTTTTGAGACTTGCTGCTAAAACACTGAACAACTTTTGTGAAGGTGTAGTGCCCTAGAAAACAAATTATCTTTCATTTTCCTTACAAGGAATGGCAGCTAGGTCTATTCCAGAGGGAATGTAATTCATAAATAGAAAATAATAAAGGTATAGCATGTAATAAGGAAGACGTAGAGCATCAGGCTTTCCAAAGAGGAAGCTAAAGCAAAAGTAACTCCTGCAATTACGCAGCAAACACCAGCTTTATGCCGTCTGTACTGTAGTATTATGAACATTTTGGGGTTAGGAAACTATTACACTCCACACCATATTTTTTCATCAGTTAATTAGAGCTTAAGGTATTAAAATCAGTGTTACTAGCACCTGTGTCATGGTCACTGGTAGGTGGTCTCCACAGTGCAAAGAAATGTGAAAATAGTGTGAAAGAAAACAGATTATTTCAATCATTCATAGTTTCACTCGGAGGCAATTATGAGTCTTCCCTTTTGACATAGACTGAGTTTCCTTTTATGTTGTCAGGAATGGAAAAGTGATTCACAGTGCCACTTCACAGAGGTATCCCTTTCAACTATACTGCCTTTCAAGAATTCAGGGAAATAATGAACATGTTTGAGTGGTACCTTGCGTCTGCAGTTATCTAAACTAAAAACAAGCAGGCTTAGCATTGTTGCACACAAGAAATCCTAGCCAAAGCATAACAATCCTTAACAATATCACCAATGTTTTTACAAGGGAAGTGATGTGTTTAGTGAACGGGTTGCCAAAACATCACTGAGACGGGAAGCAATTTGGGCAGAAAAGGAACTGATAGATGCAAAAGTTTGTTTTTACGGCTTCAAGAAAGAAAATGGAAAAAAAAGTGTTTGCTCCTTCAATCGCAGCAATCACTGTTGGTCTCACGTTGCCAAGGGGGTTGCCGCGATGACAAGTGGCCCATTCTGTCATGAACATGGGGGAGGCCGGTCAAAAAATTAGGTCCAGCCTATCTTCGCACCCGGCTAATGAGAAATGAAGTGAGATCAGATAAGAATCGGGAGAGGGACCGACCGACATACGAGGAAGCCCCCCCTGCCTGTGTCACCTCTGCAAGCTCATGCCAGAGCTTGTCAGGGCTCATTTCCCCCTCAGCTGCTTGGAGACCCCCTCTCCTCTTTCTGCTGGAGCCAAAGCGGCCCCCCAAAACAGACAGAGGGACAATTCTTACCAGAAACACATACCAAACCAACCAAAAGCCACAATGATGTGAGGGGAAAATTATTTCCCATGCAAAATCCTGCCATTTCCTTTTTACTTATTTACTTTTGAAGTAAAACTTAAATAACACTTCTAAATCCTGCCATTTACTTTTTACTTATTTACTTTTGAAATAACACTCCATACCATCCAAGCCCAAACAACCTAGACTTTCCTTAATGAATTTGTAGATATTAACCCTGATTGATGTGCCTCATTAGCCATAATGACACCTTGTATCATTATTCTTCCACCTTGTTAGGAATCAGTTGCATGTACGTATGCCTAATTATCTCATTAATGGCCAGGGACACATGTTCCACAGAGCTGATTGTTGAATTTAAGGTGTATTTTTTATTAGATTTCCTCTCCCAAAGATGACCTATTTTCTTTGGAGTAAATCCGGCATAATTACAAGTATTATTTTGCATAATTGAATTACAAGACTGATTGCTGTATAAAGGAGTATGTCTAATTTTAAAGTGATCCAGTGCAAAAAGTGTGCAAAAATATCACCTGCAGAGCGCCGTGGAGCAAGACAACATGAAGAAATACTGTAATCGCAAACTGCTGTGCTTGTGACCTGTGGGGGCGGATCATGAAACCTCAGACTTTTGAAATGATGATCACAACATATATTGAAATGCTTTTTTGGACAGAATGGGTATTTTCATCTGCTGAGAAAAAAAAGGCAGTCCTCAGGTGTCATGCTGAGATGTTTGGATGTATCGCCGGCCCCCTGAGTAAGAGCAGCCTGTTCTCACATGGGCCGCCAAACACGTCAGCACCCAGGCAAGCCCGGGAGAGAGCGAGAGCGATGGCTTCAAAGAACTTCATAGTTGGACCCGGCGAGGGGAGTTGTTTGAGAGCAGGTTACAATGCCCTTTGGTGGCCAGAGCAAAGGAAAGAAGACATTTTGATCATTTCTAGTTCAAAAAAAGTTTTCCAACATTTCCATAGAACATGAACTTCAACCCACATTGGATAGAAAACAGAATAATTGCAAAAAATGTATCATTTGGAAGGCTGAAAGTTACATTGATTTCCAAATTCCATGATCAATTTTAGTACATTGACTTATTGTTGTGGTTCCTGTGGTTTATAATGGAGGGACCTCCTACGAGGAGCCCTGAAAGCTTCTATTTCTGCATTCAAGCCAGAAGTAGCGGTAAGGCCAGCGTCTCCCTTCACCCCTCCCTCTCACAAAGCCAAATCCTGGGCCAAGATCCTGTCTGCTCGGCCCTCTGTCAGGCTTGCACCATGTGTCCAACTCCTTGATCCAGGCAATACTACTGCAGACACTGAGAATTGCTTGAAAGTCTATACTTTATGACTTGAGGAATCGCTTGAATGATTTAAAGAACTGAAAAGCAACTTTTTTTATAAGATCGCCAAAAGAAACTTGAGAAAACAATATGTTTCAATGACATGGGACTGTAGTCACTTGGGGTACTGCAATTAGTTTGAACCTTAATTCATCTTGTCGTCTATAGCTATTTTTTCTCACGCTCAACTAGCCTAATTAAGGTGCCTTTTGAGAGTGAAGTGACATCTATTTCTTTGGATAAAGCCCTGAATTTGTCTCTGCCTGTGAGTATGTGAAAACCCCCTTTGTGCCTGCACTGACGGAGGACTTTGCACTGCCTCTGTTACCCTGGAAACCTTTTGAGAGGTGAAGGGGAGGACAGCCAACGAGAAGATCATTTTGGAACACAACCGCAGGTAAATCCTCACCAAAGTAGTCCAATTTAAACAGTTTCACGATTAAAAATTACACTTTAAAGAGGAAAGAAAAGGAATCCGCAAAGGTTTGACAAATACTTCCTCTATTTATCTTCTGAATTTCCAATCGTTAGGCTCTTCACAATTGCGCCCAACGTTAAGTTCGGACTATTCCATGAACTCAACGTTAAAGTGTGGGAGAGTGTTTACATAATGAATGAATCCACTATTTTTTTTAATTAGTTAATGTGCAAGAAAATATCCTACCTCAAGAATGCAGGTCCATGGAGCTGTGTTCTCCTTGATGGACACATTGTAGAAGTTTCTCTCAAAAACGGGCTCATTGTCATTTACATCCTGAAGCACAACGTTTACCACCGCAGTGGAGGACAGGGGTGGTTTTCCTCCATCTGTAGCCACCACAGTGATACTGGGATTGGGGTTGTTTTCATAATCCAGTTGGGAGAGAGTGGTGATAATTCCCGTTATGGAGTCTATGCTGAACCAGTTGGCGTGAGAACCATGGTCATCTAGGATGCTGTAGTTAATGTCCCCATTCGGCCCCTGGTCTTTGTCTCTAGCTGTCACTTGTAGTACAAAGCTCCCCGGAAACACCACTTCAGGGATCACCTGCCTGTACACTGGCTGATCGAATTTAGGAGGGTTGTCGTTGATATCAATGACCTGGATGATAAAGGAGGACTCCGCCCTGAGAGGAGGAGTGCCTGAATCCGTTGCCGTCACCCTCAGCCCGTAGCTGTCTCTCTCCTCCCGGTCCAGAATCTGGTCGACACACATCAGATAGATGATGCTATCCTTAGTGGTCAAGGCAAACTTTCCATCTCCTCCCTCTAGGGACACATTGACATTGGCGTACTCGCCATAGTCTGGATCAGTGACTGAGATCCTGGCTACGTACTGGCCGGGCTGTGCGCCCTCAGAGACCCTCGGGGAGCCATCTTCACTGAGAAAGATGATGGTCATGGTGGGCTGGTTGTCGTTATAGTCTCTGACGTGGATGGTGACGAAGGCATTGGTCACCTCCGGCTGCGTAGCGTTGTCTTGCGCCTGCACCACCAGCTCGTGCACCCTCCTCATCTCAAAGTCCAGCGGCTTGTTGAGTGCAATGATGCCTGTGCGAGAGTCAATGACAAAGTATCGGTCCGGGTCGCTTTGTCTCCTGTTGATTTCATACAGCACCATCCCATTGGCTCCTTCATCAACGTCTGTAGCAAACACCTGCAGGATGTTGCTTCCTGGCTGAAGGTTCTCTGATATTATGGCATGGTAGCGGCTCTGGTTGAAAATTGGAGCGTTGTCATTAATGTCTTGTACAGTGATATCTAACGTCATTTGATCAGTCCTTTTCGGGGAACCACCATCAAAGGCCTCCAGAGATAAAGTGTAGGTGGATCTTTTCTCTCGGTCCAGAATGGCATTGACCGCCAAGTCCACATAGAGAACCTCATTGCTTCCCCTCCTGGTCTCCAAGGTGAATGCCTGGCCAACATTTCCGTCCTTGATAACGTAACCCTGTGTTGTAAGCTGGCCCTTATCAGCATCAACAGCTGGCTCAAGAGGAAACCTGGTGCCGATGGCTGTCTGCTCGGGGATTTTAAACATGGCCCTTTTTCTTGGGAACGTAGGGACGTGGTCATTTATGTCATTCACCTTGATGGTCACCTCCACGGTCATGCCTGTCATGGTGACTGCAATGAAGTTGTATCTGTCCCTCAGTTCCCTGTCCAGAACTTTGGCGGTTTTAATAATGCCTGTGCTCTCATCTATGTCCAAATCACTCCCCACGCCGGTTCCCTCGTGGTCTGAGATGAAGTAAGAGGATGCTGTTTTGCCAGGAGGAAGTCCCGCACTAATGTCCCCTACAATTGTGCCTGCGGGCTGTTCCTCATCTAGCTGCAGTTCAAGAGTCCCTTGCACCAAAGGCAAAGTAATTGTTACAAGCTCCAAGGCCACATACACCATTAGCACAATCCTCCTGTTCCACCAACCCCAGCGGTGCGGAGGGTCCATTGTAGACTTTGCAAAACCCTTGGCAGCTGTCTTCATTTTGGCTCCTTCTTTTTAAACCTGGGGACACACAAAGAGGAATATCAAAACCTAGAGGCAGCAGTAACAAAGAAAAGGTTTAGTATGTCTTTGTTGAAATACAGAGTTAGTTTAAAAAAATGTAAGCGAACACTTTTTTCATATGCTGTATAGATATTGTTCCCAACCAGAGCACATGCAAAACACGAGGCACATAACACTTTTCTTCACCCAAAAAGGCAACACTTTTGTCCTCCTTCCAAGAAGGTTTCCTTTGCTGAGGAAACATCAAAGCCACAAGCCACAGCATACCACTCTCCTGGATTTAATATTTATGTTTGCTCCCACATTAAGCTCTCATAGAGTGAGCAGTTTTCAAACAAAACATCTGTTTTTCAATATGTCTGAGAATGAAATTGAAAAATCAAGTGTTAAAATAAAGGTGGGGGAAATATATATATATATACAATAGGCACACTCTGGCAATGGACCCACACCCATGCAAAGGATTTGTAACTGAAACTGACAGACACTTTGGAGCAATGTGGAAAATATTGAACAACACTGTCACCATCTGCAGAATAATCCAAAACCACCACTTGTCTGGCACACAGAAATGTATCCTTTATTTTTCTTTTTTATATTAAATAAAGAGAGCAGCTTCCAGCTGTCTGCGGTTGTATCTAAACTTCATAACTTCATAATTCAACTACTTTGACCTGTTTGAAAAGTAAATCTAGCTCTAATTTAACGGAAATAAAAAAGAAGCCCATTATACCGATTTCATTTTGATAGATTGTGTCTATGGAAAGCTCTTCGAGGCTCCCCCCAGTGGTTGAAATGATATCTCATTCAAAGGGCACATTCAAAAAACAACAGAATTTACGCATGTGTGTGTTTTTTTGTGTGCACTATACATGCCTCCCGTGTGTCCATGAACGCAGTGTGTCGATCCGTCTCAGCCGCGGCGGTGACAGTGTGTTTGAGCGACAAAGCAGTACAGTGGAGTTGAGGGGCTCCGTGCAGTCTACCTCGCTCCCTTTTTCTGGCTCCGCAACATTGTAATTGAGGGCTGCTGGAAATTGTCCACAAGCACACAAGCTCCCAGAGCTAATTTCAGTTTTCCTTGAATCAGAGCCCAAAACACTGAAGACGCTTTCTTTAACATTATTAATTTGGTTTGAGTTCAAGCATTAGTAGTTTTTAAAAATATCTTGAAAGATTTATGAAAATGTATTTCAATATTATGGAACATTTTGGTAATAAAAAATAACTCATTCAATTTGCACCATCAATTCCTGATTCATATTACTTTCACCATGATTATAATGATAGTAAAATAATATATATTCACTATTACACATCATATCTTGAGTTGCTTTGTAACTGCTGGTCTTGGCCAAAAAACAAGCACATCATTACAGCCTGAAAAGCACTTGAACTTTAAAGTCTCACCATTGATCAGCAACACTGGGGATTCCCTTTTACCAAACTTTCTTTAAAGCACAAAGTAGCGCTTTTCGAGGCCCAAATTCTGTGTCCAAATGCCATAACTGAAATAATGCACTCGCTCTCTGGTGGAGCGCCAGTGTGAGGCTTCTGCCGAGCAGAGCGGCCTGATGGACATAGCAGACACAGTTGGAGAGGCTAATTGCAGAACATCAGGCTAAGGAGGATGATGTTTTAAAAGGTTCAGCTTGAAGTTGAACTTGAAGAAATAACAGTCAACCAATACATGAATTATGTTGTCGCCCAAAGCCTCCACTGCTGTGAAAGCCAGCAGCCAGTTAGAAGGACAGGATAAAAAAGGTAAAAACATATTCATGTGCTTCAGGGAACGAAAGCTATCAAAATAGCTGCTGGGGTTGAAAGCGGTTGCATTCCTCAGCTCGTAGTTAAACCACAGTTACACCTCAGAGTTTTGTTGAGAACTGGTGGGGCATTAATCGCAATGCACCTGAAGCAAAGTCTCTAAAAGATTGTATAATTAGAGTTTTCTAAAAGCAGGACATGTTTGCATAACACAATAAGTACATCTCGATGCAAGCAATAAATATAGCCTCGACCCACAAGTCAACCAACCCAATCCAAGGTTTCGTGGATTTACATGCAGAAGGAAACCTCTGTTTGAACAGTCGATATCCTTCTGGGCACTTTGCTAACATAACTACAATCAGCATCAAAATCCTTGGCAGCAGGGATTGTTTGGCACATCAGGCCTGATTTTCCACGTCTCCACTGTGGGCTAGATCATGTTTGGCCAAATGTGTCAGATATTTATATTTTATGATAGCTAAAAATTCCTTTGCTAATTAATTTTTTGCTTTTCAGTATTAACATGCAGTGCTATTTACCTTTCTTTGATTTTAACATCATGAAAACCAGGTCATTGGTTTGGCGAAACTTACAGTACATTAGACAATTTATCTAACAAAACATGGCTGTCTGCTTCATTGAGGCAATACCCACATTATAGATGAGTATGCCAAACTTCTTGCGAAATGTAAATATGAATGAATTCTGTTAAACATCATAATGAAAACAGTGTATTTGCCATAGATCAAACTTAACGTGTCATATGATTTAATCTGAGAAGACATTGTTATCCATAAAAATATCTGAAACTATAATCAGATCTGATATCTGTGAATTGAATGTTAAATGCTTTTCCAAATCCAACTAGAATATCTGTTTTCAAGGGGAAATAAAGAAAATATTGCTTCAAATATATCCCATTTTATCAGAAGAAAAACTGTCCATCAGCTGCAGAACATCAATAAACCATTTTCACCACCAACAGGCCGAGAGGGACGACTGCAGTGACAGACTTTGTAAAATTACCTACTAATTACATGTCATGATTGCAGTTAAAGCCAAAGAGACTTTCTGAGTTTGGAGAACATGCCACGCTGCCTGAGGCTCAACAGGAAACCACAGACAGAACTGCCGCTTGACTGGACACAAGGATGGCAGGCTTAGCACGAAGCAAACTATGAAAAATCTCTAAATGTTTGCCAGGCTTTTGCCTCATACAAGCGCAGTGTTTCTGTGTCCTGCATCAGCCTTTGCAATGTCTGTCCCTCAGGAAAAGATATCACAGGCTTGAGTGATACACACACACTCCTGGCCATAACAAACACCTTACTGGGAAAACACACCGGATCCTTTTTGACAAAAGCTCGGCTGAAGGTTTGTGAGGGTCCGTGACAAGGAAGGATCATCTTTTTCTCACAGCAAGAGCAGCATGGGTTGGTTCAACAACACACACACACACACACACCTCATGTCTTTGAAGATGACACCATCTTATATTGCATTTGGGGCACCAATGGGTGGATCATTAAAAACACATGTGCATCAAGTTACAGTAGCATGGGTGCAAGGGGAGTTTGGAGAACATTACTAAATCTCAAAACTAAGGTCAAAGTTCACCTCATATGTTAATTCAATTTGCGGCAGTGAGAAACTGTCCATGTGGTGTTTGTGTGAATGTCCTGGGAGAAGCATTTATTGTGGTTTTATTCCTTTTTAGGAATCTGGAGCCCTGGCTTCATCAACAGCATATGCAAGAGACAAGAATAGTGAAATAATTACTTCATGCACTCACCAAGGGTGTATGACGTAATTCTTGGCTTGTTATACAGACTGTAGAGGTCCACGTTTTGGTGGTTTTGTCTGTCATCGCTGCTTATTTTAGTTTGTTTCCTCTTTGAGTTGTAATATATATATTTCCACCCATGCAGTGTTAAATTGTCACAGATTAAAATACTTCTCTATTTTGTTATTATTGCACACGTGCCTAACATGTATTGCATATGGACGAATCACTGCTGGGTGGAAAAATGAAAAACACCGTTGATCTTACATTTTATATCATTCTGTGAAAGAATTCAGCGTGCAACTCTGCATCTGAACATTTGCTAACTTAACAATCGCAAAAGTGGAACTCGAATGCAACAAAAAGCAGCTGTAAACGGAGGACTGGTGGGGAGTAAAAGCGAAAGGAGGAGCCTGCGCCCCTTTTACTGTCTAAAGTCAGAAAAAAAAGGCTGCATAATTACGACGCGGCGCCATGGCAACCATCACAGCCCCCACTAAAGCTGATGGGACCCATGTGGAAACCTATGCATGAATTGAGGTAAAGTTCTAGCTATTCGCGGTCCGTGAACGCAACGACTGTGCCCACATGCGGGTCATCGTGCGTCCCCTCTGGAGGAGGACGGAGGCACAAAGGACGGACGGAGGACAATCGAATAAGTCCGTATAGGTCGAGCTGGTTGAGAGGAAGGTTTCGGAGGACTTTTAATAATAAGTGTGACCTGACAAGCAGCAGCTGGAAATTCTCGACTGCTTTTGGAAATGTGGGCTTTTTTCTTGCAGCGCTTCTTGCAACCACGACACAATCATACCGTTAATACCCCGACGAAAGAACACGCTCGAACTTGCACATAACGCGTTATCGGCCGTTTTAGCGGGTAGAGATGCGGAGGAAGAAACATAAACAGCCTTTGCCAAAAACAGAAAAGTGCATTTACCCAGTGTGTTTTCTTAAATCAACTTTTAAATGAATGCGTAAAACGGAATGTCCGCTTCAGAGAAGTCTGACATGAGCATGAAAGACCTGGCGGGGGGGGGGAGAAAAGTTGCTATGCCCCTCTAATAAAAAGACACGCTATTAGTACCCCCGAGGGATCTACGAGTAAGTTCAGCGTACGCGCAACATTAATCAAGTGGGAGAAAGCGGTGGTAACGACCTGCACTGATGGACAACTCCATCGCGCGGAAGGAGATGTGGGATCTGTGCGGTGGTGGATACTCACATTCATCTGTTGCTCAAGTGAAAACAAGTCCCCAAGATTTTCGAGATTCTTTCTCAGTTTCCCCCTGCGGAGTCCAAAGGGAGAGTTACATCCATGTCAGCACGACTTTCCTCTGCCAGTGGCCGAATAGATTCCTCCTCGTTGCTAAACTCCTCTTCGATTCTCTCCGCTTTCCGGCCAACTTGTGTCTGGTAAAACTTCCCCGCCGTCCTCTTAGATGTTTATTAACTTGTCGTCCGCTGTGCGTGCAGGTGTGTCTGTACGCGCGTGCATGTATTTGTGTGCGCGCGTGCGTGTGTGTGTGTGTGTGTATCTGCTGCTGCACCACGCTGACTGAAGCCAAACAGTGTGGCGCACAGCGGTAGACGTCCCTCTGCAAATCCCATTTATTGAACACGTGACGGACGGATTGCAAACTCCTGCTCCTCTCCTCCTCCTCCTCTTCCTCCTCCTCCTCCTCCTCCTCCTCGGTGCTGCTGCTCCGGCTGCCACAAGGAGCCCCAAGGAGTCAGGGCGGCTTATTGCTGAACTTTGGTGCCACCATCCTTTGCTAAAGGGAATTGTAAATCACTAACATCACGGCGCAGAGGTCCAGAGTTGAATACAAGTGATCCACAGGGTTTGGATACGTGAGCTGTCGCAATATGCACGTGTAGAGACATTACTGGGGTGTGAAATGCCAAACATCTCATGTTATCATGGTAAAATAGTTTATAACTGCCAAAGACAGGCAGAAAAAAGACTCATTTCGACAACTTAATCTTCTGAGACTATTTTTCTTCAGAGATAGACAATGCCCAAAACTTCCTCTTCCTCTTCCTCTCCGTGTCTCTTTAAAAAAGCATCAACTCCCAATATGAGCTCAGCTGTTCTCTCCTGCTGGAACCATAACCCTGCTTTAGTTTGAAAGATTTAAGAGTCATTAAAACCTCATCAATGTATTGAGAAGTTATTAACAAGGGAGCAACAGAGGGGCCCCGACGTGTCAACGAGGATATGTACCGTCAATGATAATTACTTAAGTCTGTCTGCAACTGATCTTCTCGCTTACATTCCTTGTTTATTTCGAGGTTTATTGATCTTTGTTTTTATCATTATTAAAAAACAGAACATATTTTGCATATTTCACATTATATATGATTTACGATAAAATGATGTCAGCCAGATACAGTTACAGTATATTATATTGGTGTATGGTTCCTTTTGTGCTGATTTATGAAATAAATATTTTGAAGTTCCTTCAAGTGACCTAGTTTCTGCTGTAAGAACTGCTGTATCATCAAGAGAAACGAGTTCCAGCTCGGGCAGCTACTCGTTATTACTGTGGCAACAGAGCAGAGGAACTCACACAGACATGCACACACATTGGCGTCAATCCACACAAACTCTCGTGGACTCACACAATCTTGAAAGTCAGCTGACATTCATTTATTTGCTAAGTCAGAAAAGCACTCTGCTTTTACTTCTTCAGGGATAACCACTGGCAGCATTATCTGTTCCATATGTGTTTTAATGTCCCCCATGTGAGTTAAATAGGAATAAATGATGTTTAGAGATTACAATAAATTAAGTAGACAATGATTCGGACATATTACAGATGTCTAATAAATACCGGCCTCTACGATGTGGAGTTGTAAACATAACACATTATTTTGAATTCAATTCTCTTTCGAGTTTCGACTTAGACTCACTCTTAACGTGATCTGTCACTAAGTGTGTGTGTTACACAAAGGATACATTTCTTCTCGTAAAGCGCTTTATTACCAATATCCTCCGTTTTCTTTGATTGTCATGAACTGTGCATGTAAAAAACAAACTGCCTGCTGACAAGACAATAGATCGTCAAACATCGTGTTGACGCCGTCATGTTAATCATACAACATATTCTCTCCACAGAATTGTCTATTCTGACTATTCTGATGTATCAAAACTGAATCTAAAAATGTCAACCTAATGCATTTTGTTATGTATGTTATGTAACAAGCTGATCAGTTCTGTTACTTTGCATCAATAAATTGCATCAAAACACAAGAGGAGCATCTGTTGCTCATTTGGCACCAGCACTTTAGTTCAGTACAAGAAGTGCAACTTGAGTTTGAAGCTCAGATTTTGCTCTCTGCATTTTAAAACATGATTTGTTTTCAAGGTGCGTCCACACTTTAAATACATTTTTCATGTATTTTCTTTCAACACACAAGTCCACTTAGTTCTGCGCTCATCCTCCAGCGAAGAGAGAAAAAGAAGCCAAGGGGCTATAATAGTGAATAAATCTGCAATTTTACTTTGACGTTAGATGCTGTCCACATCACAGGGCAGTGGTCTCAGTAATTGTTTCTGTGATGGCTGTTTTGGTGGGATTGGACCAATGAAAAACCACAGAGCTTGGCTCCTTTAGTCGTGCTTAGACCAGAGGGAAGAAATAATAAACGGATCCGGTTTAATCAGGATTAAAGTAAAATGTGTGACAGGCCGCTTCACTCGAAGAATTCACCTCAGCCAGACAGAAAAGGGCATCGAACCTGATGTCATGAAATAACAATAAATGGGTAATTAAGCTGGAGAGGATTCATCTTTTCCTATATTTCCATTTAGTATTATACGGATGATAGTAGGTGGCAAAATGGTGGTTAAGACTTTCTAGAGATAATTTCTTAGAATTCAATCTGTATCACGCTACAAGCCGTTGACCCTTGGATCACTGAAGTCTGTATTTTGTACACTCACAGGGTTTTTAATGTTTGCCCTTGCAAGTGTCCCTGGGTAACAATTAAATTAACTTTAAATGTTTGATGCCTTTTAGAGCGGGCATGAATTCAAATTGGAATTTCATCAAGCCTTGGAAGACAAGGTTAAACAAACAAAATGATGATCTTACCTCATCGTGCTGATTCATAACAGTGAAAGTATTTGCACAAACATGCTTTTCCTCTGTTCCTGAAAAAGCATTTCTCAAATTAAATCAAACTTGCATTATCTCCCTCACAAACCAAAGCAGCATGCATTTCATTTCTCAATGTACTTAAGAGTTGTTCATTTTTTTTGTGAAAATGTGTGTGAAAGTATTCTGTAAGCTTCAGTATTCCATTCTGAATCGTGACTTTCTTCTCTGCATCTCTAAACACAACGGATGGTCTCAGTGAGAGTTGCAGGCGTCAGATGGCTGTGTGTCCAAAGGGGACTGTGAGGAATATTTGATGGAGAAACCAGAGTGGGGGTTTTGGGGGTTTGGGCATGTGCTAAAGCAGGAGTCTAACATGGACCTTTATTGGGGCAAAACACCAATCACAGGCACTGGTAGACTATTTCTTCCAGATGCCTTTGAGCAAATTGAAAGCGGTTTATTGAATGTAACTTTTGAAAGAATGTGCTTCACACCCCTGATCAATGAGGAGACTTGAGATGAGGGCTATTTTCAGTTCAATAAATTAAGGCAAAATAGCATACAAAATGTTTCTGTGTATGTGTTATACGTGTCTGCATACTTTAGTTTTACACTCTGTGTTCCTTTCCAATGGTAGATATTAAGTGCACAGGTGGTTTTCATTTGGTTAGTAAGGAAGAACAGTACTGGGAGTTCTAGCTCTTTGTCATCTTCTGGTTAATTGTGATGTAAAAGCGCTTTTATAAGTTTCTGTTTAGTGTTAACGGTGCTTCCCGACTCTAAAAATTGCGACGCTAAATCTTTTATGTCAAGAAAACTGGTCTAAATTATTTGAGATATCCCAGCCTGGACCCCCAAATCAAGACCCCGCAGACTCACTATATTCCAAACAATAAAATATTCCTGATTTTAATTTGCTGTTGGACAAAAAACAGACAGTATGCGTATGTGGTATGTGTAGTGATTGTTATTGATGATAGTCAATATGAATGATCCATTAATTTATATTTAATTTTACAGTAATTTCATTGCAAAACAGATCAGAGGTTTAAAAAAAAGACCCAGTCTGCTCTGCAAATGCCTTTGTGAATTAAAATGCCGACTAAACCAATACTATTCTGTTTCTCTGGTCTTTGCAGAGGGAAAAGCCAGTAAGTTTCCCCGCAACCTTTGGATTTTTAACATATTGTGGCATCACAGGGGGGGACACGTGGTGGAAGGCTGCTACAAACAGGATCGGTTGCCCCACCCCAAAATGGCCACTGCCACACCTACTACAGCCCCCAGAATGCCTTACAAAGAATTACTACTACAGTGTTGAAAAGTAGCCCTGATTTAGAAAACTCGATGTAATCCAAAACCAGACCAAATCAAAACCAAGGCACAAAAAAAAAATCAAACAAATCAGCAGGCTGCCCCTGTCAAACGACTGGCCCAACCTAGCTGTCCATAGGACCCCCCCTCCTTCCCCCGCTACAATATTGTATGTAGACAAGCATAATCTATCCAACAACAGCGCAATATTGGACGAATCAGTTTAATGCAGCTGCAGCAGCGGGCTGGTCATCCTTGTAGAAGGTACACTTTAAAAATGTGCATTTTTCCATTAGTAGATGTCATGCTGCTTTCACCCCTCATTAGGCTGTAAGCACGTCAAGCTGTAAAATGTGAAGACTCTGACATTACAGGATTGAATCTGTCTTCGATGTCATGGTTACATTTTATTCAAATCGGAAGAGATTTCTGGGACACAAAAGGCTAAATAACCAACCTTAAATAACAGTAGTTTAATCCTGTCACCTTCAAAAATATGGCCTCATTAAATGACCAAACTAGTTAAATAAATAAATAATAACAAACTCCTGTAGGAAGTTTTTGACACTAGTCTCATTAAAGTAAAATACATAGAATTAATTGTAAAATCGAGAAAAACTGACATTTTTTCTGAAGCCAAGGGTTGTTCTTGTCGGAAATCTACCAAGCTTGATAATAAATTGAGCATGTCAAGGATTTCTCTTGTTTGAAAAATGAAGCTCTAAAGGGATTTGGCAAATAAACCGTAGTATCTAAAATTTATGTTAATTGATTCCATTCCTTCAAACTTGAGCATTTGTATTCACAAATATCCAAATGATCTTCATTCTTCAAATTCCACTGCTGCTAAACAGTGCAGAGGAGAAGATCTGCTTCTGGCTCTTGGCCCTTTAACCGCCGCCGGCTTATAACAATGACACCCACATCAGAAAAAAAACTAATCTTTTGGGCTGTCCTGTGTGACTGCTTTAGTTAATATACTATCAATCACACAGGCCAGCGTGTCGCTCTCTTGCAGGACGAAATTCCTCAGACATTGTAGGGAGTCTAAGTAATTCTGATGGAGATCACTTTTATTCTTCAGGAATGCATTCTGTTGTTTAGGGGAGGAATGCACAGCATTGAGAGGGATGCCCTGGAATTTAAAAAACAATTGAATTGTTCAAGCAAACATTTCTTTGAGGAAAG